GATCGTTTTTCCAGTGCCCCACAGATTTTGGATTGTTGTATCCTCATATTAATTTGTTTCAAGGTATTTTCCATTTCTTTCTTGATTTCGTTGTTGGCCCATTCATTGTTTAATAACATGCTATTTAGCTTCTATGTCTTTGTGTGTTTTTCAGTGTTCTTGATGATTACTAGTTCTATAGCACTGTGATCAGAGAAGATGCTTGATATGATTTCAGTCTTCTTAAATTTATTGAGACTTGTTTTGTGTCCTAACATGTGGTCTATCCTAGAAAATGTTTCACGTGTGCTTGAAAAGGATGTATATTCTGCTGTTGTGGGTGAAGTGCTCTGAAGATAGCAATTAAATCCATTTGATCTGGTTTGTCATTTAAGGCCAGTGTCTCCTTATTGATTTTCTTCCTGCAAGGTTTATCCATTGAAGTCAATGGGGTGTTAAAATCCCCAACTGTGACCGTATTTCGGTCAGTCTGTTCCTTTATGTCCAGCCAAATACGCTTCACATACTTAGGTGCTCCTTTTTCGGGAGCACAGATGTTTACTAGGGTTATGTCCTCTTTTTGAACTGTTCTCTTTATTATTATGTAGTGTCCTTTGTCTCTTACCGTAGCCTTGGTGTTAAAGTCTATTTTGTGGGATAAGTACTCCTATTCCAGCTTTTTTTTCTTTTCCATTTGCGTGAAATATCTTTTTTCCAACTCTTTACTTTTAGGCTGTGTGTATCTTTCGATCTAGATGGTCTGTTGGAGGCAGCATATATAAGGGTCTTGTTTTTTTATCCATTCGGCTACCCTATATCCTAGAGCCATTTAGCCATTTACATTTAAGGTGATTATTGATAGATACATATTTAATGCATTTTAGTGTTAGACTGTTTTCCTCTTTTCTCTCTCTCTCTTTCCCCCACCCCTTCTCTTCTTCTTAAAGCAAGCCCTTTAACATTTGTTTGCAGTAGTGGTTTGGTATTAACAAATTCCTTTAGCTTTTTTTGTCTGGGAAGTGTCTTATTTCTCTTTTAACTTTAAATGATAGCCTTGCTGGGTAAAGTAGCCCTGGTTGTAGGTTCTTGTTTTTCATCACCTTGAATATTTCATGCCAGGCCCTTCTGGCCTGAAACGTTTTTGTTGAGAAATCAGACGACAGGTCTAATTGGTGCTTCCTTGTATGTAACTACCTGCTTTTCTCTTGTGGTTTTCAGGATTCTCTCCTTGTCTTTATCCTGGTCATTTTACTTTTATGTGTCTTGGTGTAGCCCTCTTTTGGCCCAACTTGATTAGGACGCTCTGAGCCTCCTGGATTTGTGCATCCTTTTCCTTTACTAGGTTAGGGAAGTTTTCTGTCATTATTTCTACAAATAGGTTCTTGATCTCTTTCTCACCTTCTCCTTCTGGTATACCTATGACGTGGATGTTGTTACGCTTCATGCTGTTTAAAATGTTTTTTAAGTTCTTCTCATTTTTTAAAATCCTTTTTTTTTTTTTTTTTTTTTTTGCTGCTCTGCCTGGGTGTTTTTATCTACTTTGTCTTCGAAATCACTGAGTTAATCCTCTGCTTCTTCTAACCTATCTTTATTCCTTCCAGTGTATTACTTATTTCAGATATTGCTTTCTTTATTACTGACTGGTCCTTTTTTACGTTCTTTTTAACACTGTTGAGTATCCTTATAATCATTACTCTAAACTTTCTATCTGATAAATTGCTTGCCTCCATTTTATCTGGTTCTTCTGGGAAATTCTCTTGTTCTTTGGGGTCTGTTTCTTTGTCTTCCCATTTTGGATACTTCTTTGTATTTGTTTCTATGTATTAGGTAGATCCGCAAAGACTCTGGTGCAGACCTTTGTCAGATGCTGTTTGCTGCTTGCCTTGTACAACCTATTTGGACCTATTAGCAATCTACAGCATGTGGCCCCTTCTGCTGGGCCTATTTGTGTGCAGAAAGAACCAGGCTGCACACTAAGACTAGCTTATACCAGCACCTGGCCTGGGGGAGGGTGAGCTAAACTTTCAGAGCTCCCAGAGATCCCGCTTAGTTGTTCAACTTAATCACTGCTGTATCCTCAATCTGTTTTCAGCATCCGGGCTTGGAGCAGAGTAATTCCTGTGGGTGGGACTCTTGATTCCCCTCAGGCTGATGCCACTCGGAGGGGACTGCTCTGCCTGAGCAAGATGGCACTTGTGTATGGGGAGTAACTCAGCACAGGGATCCTGGGGCTGTTCTTTCAGTTCTTTTCCCAGAACCACCAGCCCCAGACTTTCCTCACTTGTCTCTAGTCCACTCTGCCCTCTCTGCTGGAGCCCAGGGTAGGTGGCTGTAACTGGAATTTTGTGTGTGGGCCCTTTAAGAGGCTCTGTGTGTCTCCAGCCATCTCTCCCTGGCAGACAGAAATCCCCATACTTTTCACAGCTGAATGTTATCTGGGTTCCTTTCCTGGCTCTGGTGCGGTAGGCTAGAGAGCCTAGCTTGTGGTTTAGATCGCACTTCTCAGGGGGACCCCCTGGCTGCTAAATATCCCTCTAAGGACTTCAGCTGCCACCTGTGGGAGCCCACCAGGCCCTCTTGTGCCTCCTCTGCACTCCCTACCAGTCTCATTGTGATCAAGTGGTTTCTTCTGTCTGTCTGTGGTTGTAAAGCTTCTCTCCGGCTAGTGTTCCATAGGTTATTCAGGATGATTTCTCCATAATTTAGTTGTAATTTCAGGTTGGTCCTGGGAGGAGGTTAGTGTAGCTTCCACTTTCTTCTCCACCATCTTGGATCACCTTAATTAGAAACTTAAAATTTAGGTTCTTTAGTGCTCTGAAGCTCACTTCCTGTGCTTAATAGCCGTTGCAGGCTGGTGGTTGCTGTATTGGACAATGCAGGCATAGAACATTTCTAATCTGGGAGAAAGTTAAGTTGGATAGCTCTGATCTAGAAGGTACCACATAGGAGAACACTTTATAGACTTATGGGACATAGCTAACTGGTACTCGGAGGAATATTGAAAGCCTTTAACAACTTGCATTATTTAAAATAAAAAATACTGAAAGTTAGTAAACTAAGTACCCAACTTCAGATATTAGAAAAACAAGAAAATAAAAAGAATTTTTAATAATAGAAATATTATTTTAAATACCATCTAAAATGCTATTTCTAATAATTTTATTTTTTAAAAATAGAAGTAAAACAAAACATAGAAATACTGAAATTGATTATTAAAAATCTGATTCTGAAATGATTCTGCACAGATTATAACTGTTCTGAAGGAAATGAGAAATGTATTAGGTGCTATATTGAGATGGTATTCTAGCTGAATTATATTAATAGACTTTAGCCCTGGCTGGTGTAGCTCAGTGGATTGAGTGTGGGCCTGCGAACTAGAGGATCACGGTTCGATTCCCAGTCAGGGCACATGCCTGGGTTGCAGGCCAATTCCCAGCAGGGGACTCATGAGAGGCAACCATACATTGATATTTCTCTCCCTTTCTCCTTTCCTTTCCCTCTAAAGATAAATAAATAAAAATCTTTAAAAAAAATAGACTTTACTTTTGTTCTAGTAAATTACCAAAAAGTTAATACATTTTTCTGATGCTAGTATAATCTTATATTAATATTTGGTAAAAGTAATTAAAACAAAAAGGCCAATTCTTAGATGCAGAAATTCTAAATGAACTTTTAGCTAATCTAATTATATGCTAGTAAAAGAATAACATCTTCTTGGAATACAAAGATAGTTCATAGTAGGAAACCTATCAACATAATTTACTGCATTAACAGATTAAAGGAGAAAATCCATGTAATTCTATTGGTGGATGTTGAAAAGGCATTTGATAAAATAATTAAAACACTTAAGTATAATAAGAATTATGGGAGAAAGTTCTTCAGTTATGGGAATAATCACAGCACCAAGCACAGAGGGCTGTGAAGATTTAAGGACTTCACAGATGTGGAAATTTACTTAGAACAGTGTCTGACATATCAAAAATTATTCAGTGTTAGCTCTTCTTATACTTTAAATGTGATAGTTAATTTGTAAAAGAGAGTTGACAAATATTCAATTGAATGGTAAAACAGCTTGATTAAAATCATGATTAAGACAGAGTTGTTTGTTCTTACCACTTTATTCGGAATTGTTTTTGAGGTTTCATTTCTCTAAATATAATAAAAGTAGAAAATGAAGTGACTGATATAAATACCAAAAGGGGAGATAAAAATTGTTTAAATTGCAAATGGTATGATTTACATATCTAGAAAACCCAAGAGATGACGAAAGACTAAAAAGATATCATGATAAATTTAACAAAATGGTTCAGTAGCACGGAAATGAAGAAAATGACTATATTTAATTTAGGATTTAAGGAAGGTCAAAATCACATCTTAAAAATGGTCATCCTTTCCAAAATTAACATGAATTTCATTAATTCCAGTTAGAAACCTAGTACACTCTTTATTCAAATGAGATGTGATTTTTAAGTTCATGTGGAAAGTATATTTCTAAAACTACCCGTGAAAAATACTATATATTTAATCCTGTTTTTGTTAGCGGCACCCTCTCCTCTTCCCTGCTATTAACACACGTTTGAGAAGGTTGGGGAAGAAAACAGTCATGCATTTGGTGGCATGTTTTCCTCTACCTCAGTGTAGATAATCATGGAGAACTATAGAGCTGTTTCCTTACATAGGTATCTTTAACTCTTTCACTTACTATAGAGTGTGTGTGTATCTATATATTCTTTGTTATTTTAATCTATAGAAAAGGAAATAGAAAAATGTTTAATGATTTTTCACTTATTGAAGTTGTAATCTATTTTAGTTCAACTGGAAATTAAACCACATCATCGATTGACTTAACATGATTTTAAATAAATTTCTCAGATTAAAAACAATCCATATGAAAAAAAACAGAAACGTCTTTTCCTTCAGCTTTCTGAATGTTTGGTGCTTTGTACAGTGCATAGACTAATTTTACCTCAGAAACGTTGAAAGAGTCACTCTCTCTCTCTCCTCTATTTCCATTTGTGAAGGTATGCAGCCGCTCATGTATTCAGTCCAGGAAGCACTAAACGCCAGACCGTGGTGGACTCGTGTGGGGACGGACATTTGCTACTATAAGTAAGTATTCTAAGGGTAATAATGGGACATCGGTTTACAGAAGGGATTATTAACTTCATTCTATTTCAGTTTAGAGATTAAAAAGTAGAGTCGTTATTGCATTCTTTGAATCGTGGTGTTCTGCTTTAGTATTACTTCTGATAGAGTCCTTTAAAATTTGAGATCGATTTAGGGGGCATAGTTCGTGGAAATATAGTTGACCATCTGATAACACAGGTTTGAATCACATGGGTCCACTTTTATGTGGATTTTTTCCAGTAAATGCCTGTACTATTTTTGAGCTGAGGTTGGGAGTTCACAGATTTGGAGGGCCAACCATGTGTATTGATCTGTGTGATTTTACATAGGGACTTGAGTGTCTGCTGATTTTGGTATCTACAGGTGTTTTAAGACCAGCCCGTGACAGATAGTGAGAGAAAACTGGTATAGTTTGGGTTTTGGGGAGTCAGAAGTTATATTTGGATTTTTGACTGTGCAGATGTCGGTGCCCCTAACCTCCATGTATTCAAGGGTCAAGTGTAAAATGTATTTTGTAGACAGATAGTTTAGGTCTAAATCTTTGTCTCCACTGCTTAGACAGCTACGTGTTCTCAACATTTTTAGCTTTAAAACTGTCAACTTCTTTGAATACAAAGGAAATGAGAAATTCTAGAAAATACTTCTGGCCAACTTGGAGGCGTAGATACACTTTGCCTCCTAACACAACCAAAATAAGGACAGCAACAAATTTAAAAACAAAAAATAACCAGAACTGCCAGCACATTGAACTCTATGGAAGTCCCAACAGCAAGGGAGTTAAAGAAACATTCATCTAGACTAGTCGAGGGGCAGAGACAGGCAGTCGGGGAGGAGAGGATGTGTGGCTGGAGGACCTGTGTAGAGGAAGCAGAGACTGGTGGACCAGGCCATCCCACATTTGCATGCAGATAAACCAGAAGAACAACTGGCGAGCGAGACAGACCACGCAACCCAGGGTTCCAGTGTGGGGGGAAAAAGCTGCAAAACCTCTGTAAAAACCTGTGGGGGTTGCAGTGGTGGGAGAAATTACCAGCCTTACAGGAGAGTTTGCTGGAGAGACCGCCAGGGTCCTGGAATATACATAAACCCACCCACCCAGGAATCAGCACCAGAAGGGCCCAATTTGCTTGGGGGAAGTGAGGGAAGTGACTGAAATGTGGCAGAGAGCAGAGCAAGCACCATTGTTTCCCCTTGGACCCCGGCCCTACATTCAGTGACACAACCCAGTGAAATGGGTTGCTCTGTCCTGGCAAATACCTAAGGCTCTGCCCCTTACTACATAATAGGTGTGCCCAAACAGAAATATGGCATAAAAGAAAGAACAGGTCAAAGCTGGAGAAAAAGCTAAGCAACAAGGAGATAGCCAACCTATCAGATACTGACTTCAAAACACTGGTAATCAGGATGCTTACAGAAATGGTTGAGTATGGTTGCAAAATAGAGGAAAGAGTGAAGACTATGCAAAGTACAATAAAGGAAAATATAAAAAGAACTAACAGTGAAGGGAAGGAAACTGGGACTCAATGATTTGAAGCAAAAGGAAAAAAATAAACATTAAACAGAACAGGAAGAGGAAACAAGAATTCAGAAAAATGAGGAGAGGCTTAAGAATTTCTGGGACAACTTGTAACGTTCCAACATCCAAATCATATGGGAGCCAGAAGGAGAAGAGGAAGATCAGGAGATTGAAGAACACTTATTTGAAAACATAATGAAGGAGAACCTCCCTGACCTGTAAAGGAAATCGACTTCCAGGAAGTCCAGGAAGCTCCAAGAATCCCCAGAAAGTTGGAGCCAAGGAAGCATACACCAAGGCACATCATAATTATATTACCCAAGATTAAAGATAAGGAGAGAATCTTAAAAGCAGCAAGAGGAAAGGAGACAGTTACCTACAAAGGAGTTTCCATCAGACTGTCAGCCGATTTCTCAGAAGAAACCTTACAAGCGAGAAGGGGCTGGAAAGAAGTGTTTAAAGTCATGAAAGGCAAGGACCTACATCTAAGATTGCTCTATCCAGCAAAGCTTTTATTTAGAATGGAAGGGCAGATAAAATGCTTCCCAGATAAGGTCAAGTTAAAGGAGTTCATCATCACCAAACCCTTATTATATAAAATGTTAAAGGGGCTTATCTAAGAAACAGAAGATGATCAAAAATATGAACAGTAAAATGACAACAAATTCACAGCTATCAACAACTGAACCTAAAAAACAAAAACTAACTAAGTAAACAACTAGAACAGGAACAGAATCACAGAAATGGAGATCACATGGAGGGTTTTCAGTTGGGAGCAGTGGGGAGAATGGGGAAAAGGTAAAAGGACTAAGAAGCCTAAATGGTAGGTACAAAATAGATCAGGGGAGCTTAAGGGGATAGTATGGGAAATGGAGAAGCCAGAGAACTTGTATGTATGACCCGTGGGTGTGAACTAAGTGGGGGATGGAATACTTGAGTGAAGGGAGGTACTGAGTGGAGGGGGGTGAAGGGGGAGAATTGGACAACTGTAGTAGCATAATCAATAAAACATAATTAAATAAATTTTAGGAAATAACTTGTATTTATTTGTTGTTCTGATGACAGTAAGTACAGTTCTTTTCTGTGCACAAATATTTACCTCATTTTAATTTCCAAAATATTGGAGATGTATTTCATGGTTATGTCAGCTTATACAGCTCAACTGTGACTTCAAATAGGCGAACTACTTAATGAGTTCGAAATCAGTGCTATAAGTTATTTATTGCTGCAATAGAATAATTATTCTTCAGATTCATTCTAAATAATCTAGAATTATGTAGCTTGCTTCCCATTTTACTCTGTTCCTGCATGTATTATTTTCCAAATGATTTCCACTGTTGAAGGCAGTTGACATCTCTGTTTCTTACTTGTTATTAATCTTAATCCTGACATTTTTGTTTAGGGGGTATTGACTTTTTCATATTGTGCTTAACTAGCACTAATACAGTTGTATCAGTAAGAAGACTTCTAAAATTAAGCTGTTTTTAATGGTTTATGACATGGCTTTGGACAAACCTAGGTCTTAATTGCTGCTACTTCATGGGAAAGAAAGGGTTCCTCAGAATTTACATCAGTAGGGTTTTTCCTTGACTTTTATTTGCTACATAAACAGTAAATAAACGAGGAACAGAAATATAGGGTTATATGTAACTCATCTGTACCTGAATAAATCTCGTATTTATTTTAATGGTAGGCTAATATAAAAGTACTCTCATCACTGGTCCCTTTCTCGAAGTTGGAGGGAAGTGGTGACGATCTGGGCAGTGCTTGGTTAGCCTTCGGCAGAATAATTTAGACTGCGAATGGGTGAAACGGTGTCCTTCAGAAAGTAGTGTTTCTTTCACGCTTCTCCCCTTGTGCATTATGGAAATCAGCAATGAACACTTATCTTGTTTACACTGTAAAGCATGCTGGTAGTTGTTCTGTGTAAGGGGTGTTTTTGTTTTTTTTTTTTTCTTTTAGCTATTTCCAGCTCTGGAATTGGAATTTAGTCTCAATTCAACAGATGTTTATTAATCACTTTCCATGTAATAAGCACTTTTCTAGTTGCTTTCTCAAGGCCTGAAATTTAGATTGTGAGGCATTAAAATTTATTTTTGCCTTGTATCTTCACTTTTTACCTCCATCAGGCCCTTTGATGCTTGTTTGTGTTGTCTGTGAAATTGAATGAAACTGCCTTCCCCCTACATGTGAGAATAAAACCTATGAACTGCCACCTAGATATAATGTGGTGTAGTGAAATACTTTCCACTTAGTTGTTAAGCTTTTGGAGGAAAGGAGTAGGTAGGGTGTATTCTGGAACTCATTTCGTATTCAACCCGTAGCACCTTGTCATTGAGTCTCTATTCAAGATGTAATGATGGACTGTATACCAATTTCAAAATTCCTTGAGTGTGTATAAAGAATCTGCAGGCCATGCAAGGTGATTTGGAATTTTAGAAATTCAGTTGATGTACAAAGCATTTTTAGCTCAACATATGTTGGTGATATTGAAAGTCTGGAAAGTAGCCCCAGCCATGTGTTGTGACTGGGAATTGAACAGGCAACCTTTTGGTTTGCAGGATGATGTCCAGCCAACTGAACCATGCTGCCCGGAGCGCAAGTCTCTGTTTATAGAGTATTTAAGTTACACTTTTTACAAACCACCCCCTGAAGTTCTGTTTAATAAAATAACAAGGAAAATCAGTTTTTGTATGTATGAAATAGACAGTGTGTGCTTTTCTATTGCAGAAATCACTTCTCAAGAAGCTCAGTTGCTGCAGGTGGGCAAAAGGGAAAATCCTACTATACAATTACATTCACTGTCAGTTTTCCACATAAAGATGATGTTTGCTACTTTGCTTATCACTATCCATATACATATTCGACTTTACAGGTGAGAACTCACTAAGTTGTATTATAACTATTATTGCGTTACATGTGTGTGTGTCAGATAACAGAAGCCAAAATTGCTTTAATAAGAAAAAGATTTGATGTTGAAATTTTTATGTAATAATACAACATTTGTTGAAAACATTGAAGGGTGTAAATGGCAATGTAGTCTCTTTATTTAATAGAAAGAAATACTAAGGAAATTTGACATAAGCTTTGCTTTCTATCTTTGGGTAGTAATCTACAGGCTCTCTTAAGATTTCATGATTTCCAGATTTTAACTAGATGAGATTTCCAAGTGTTTAATGAGAAGCATTGAATCTGATAGAAAAATATAAGAGTAGCAAAATGTGGGTGTGGTTTAAGTTTTCTGCAGGGAATTTATTTCTTCTAATGGTTGCATATGGAGTCCTAGATCCAGATGCTTAGAATTTGGGGTACAAGAGTTGTTTTATGGGGTACTTGAGGTTTTTGATTATTTGTATTGTAAAACAAAATAAAACAAATAAATTCAAGTAATTACCGTGGTAGGTTCATTCTCAGAAGAGAATATCTCTCATAATCAAAGATCTTGAAGATATGACCAATTTACCCAGAAAGAAACTGGAGCACTATGATTAGGAACAAGCTTCGACATCACTAGAGAGGGGAAAATGGGAGAAAAACACATTCCACAGAGCAGAAAAGATAGCAAGCCTGAGAACACCATGAGACTCACTGTGTTTACAACCTACATTCAGTTGTTGATAGCTGCCCTGGGGGGAACAGGGGTACCAGGTGGAGGGGGGCACATGAAAAAAATTGGGACAACTGTAGTAGCATAATCATTAAAATGTATTTAAAAATGAAAATTAAAATATTACAACCTACAGATGTAAAATCAGAAATCTCTTCATGCTGGATAACATAGCATCAGAATATGGTGCTGTCATTTGTGGGTTTATATGTTACTCTTCTTTAGTGATGTGTACCTTTTTGGCATATTCTGATTCCCTTACTTTCTTTTAACTCCATGACCTTTTCCAGGCATTTGCATTGTTTCTTGCTTGGACTTTTGCCAACCTTTTTCTAACTGGTGACCTAAAGGTGACTTTTATCCCCTTTCCTCTTTATCTGTATTTTTTCCACACCGTAGCTCTTGGAAGCTATGGAAGAAGCCTTGGAAGAAAGGCTCTTGGAAGGCAAATCTGGTCATATAACTCCCCTGCTTAAAATGCCTTTGTGATTTCTGTAGCCATTTGTACAAAGTCTAAAATTCTTACTGTGGTTCATTGTCATTCCTTTACTGTCTGACACAATTTTTTCCATTTCCACACACATACTGTGTGAGCCATTATTTACTTAATATTTATTATTTAATAGACTAAAATAATTTACTCTTTAAAGTTTATCCTTATCCTAACTTAACATCCAGGAAATGATGGATTTAATGGGCAGACATTTTTCTAACTCACAACTAAATATGTACCTATTACATCCTTTGAAGCTCATCTGTGTATTACTTGGCTACATGGACACCCTTTAGGGAAACTGGCCTACCAAGCCCTTCCTTCTGGGCTGAATTCTGTCTCACTGTTGCTTTTTGGTGTGGCTGTGATGAATGCATTTCAGTTCTTTGAAATGCCCTCAATTCTTTTTTAGTTTGTGTTCTTCCTACACTTTCCTTTGTTTATAGCACACTTCTTTTGCCCTTTTCACTCATCCTTTGAATCGCAGCTTCTTTGTCCTTTTCACTCATCCTTTGAATTGCAGTTTAAAAGTAACTTTTTTTCAGGAGAACTTCTCTCACTGCCCAGACTCAGCTGGGCTCCCCTCCCCTTATTACAAGCTATCACAGTACTCTGCATTGTCCCTAGGGCAGGGTCCATTTATTCATCGATATAGTCTCAGTGCCTGGCACAGTTTCTGGCGCAGAAATTGTGACCACACAGTAAATAGTGATTCTGTGAATGAGCATTGGCAAAAGTTTGGAAACCAGCTAAGTGTCTCAAAATGAGGGATTGAATGATTTATATTTGGTATGACACTATACCATATCATTAGTACGTGATTCATAATTATGAACATATACATGTATGTATAAATTAGTAAGTGATAAAAGGTTATAAAAAGGCATGTGCAATTACAGTTTTGTTAATATACATTGGCACTTGTTAGTAGTAATCTAAGTGATGCAATTATGAGTGTTTAAAATTTTTTCTTTGTACTTTCTGCATCTTCCAGACATTTCACAATGAACCTATGTTAATCTTGAAGTCAGGAAAATTTGTTAAAAAATTTGTGCAACATAATTTTTATTCTGCATATTGTAGGCCTACAGTCACAATGTCAATGTTCAGAAGGCTTTGAGAACCAAAAGCTTTTTTATAATCCCTTTGACAGCAAAGCCTGGCCTAAGTTGATGTGAGCTTATTTAGCATATCAATTCCACTTAGAATTGATGCTTTATGTGTTTTGCTGTAGAAAGAACAATGTGCTTATACAGCCTGCTGTCGCTGACCCTGTGGGGGTGTTGCATGTTCAGTGGTGTATGCACTGTACCTCTCCTCTTTCTTGAATTCCTCAAATACTGATGTTTGAACTACATCTGGCCCCCGAGGGTCCCAGAGAAGGGATTAGGAATCTGGTTGACTTAAAAAAATGTTTTTAACTGAATTTATTGAAGTGACATTGGTTAATAAAATTATATAGGTTTCAGGTAAACTTCTTATACATCATCTGTGTATTGTTTCGTGTTCACCACCCCAGGTCAGTTCTCCTTCCATCACCATTTATCTCCCCTTTACCCTCTTCTCCCTCTCCCCGCCCCCTTCTCCCTCTGGTGGTCACCATCCTGTCTGTGTCTGTGAGATACTTTCTTTCTTCTTAATCCCGTCACCTTTTCCACCCAGCCCCCAACGCCCTCACAGCTGTCAGTCTGTTCTCTGTACCTGTGAGCCTGTTTCTATTTTGTTTGTTGGTTTATTTTGTTCACGAGATTGACTTTTAGTTATGTGGATATCTAGATGCATTCATTTCTGTTTATCACAGGGAGTTTTTAAGTAATTGTATATTTTTACGTTTTATCCAGATGCATCTTCAAAAATTGGAATCGGCACACAACCCTCAGCAAATCTATTTTCGAAAAGACGTGCTATGTGAAACCCTGTCTGGGAACAGCTGTCCTTTGGTGACTATAACAGCAATGCCAGAATCTAATTATTATGAACACATCTGTCAGTTCAGTAAGTCTGTCTTTGTCACTCAAAATCCCAGTCATTCTTACTTATTTTTCTTTGCTTTATGTATATTTTGTAAGGGCACTGGCACTGGGAGTAGGCATCCGAAGTCTCGGTCCTGTCACTGCCTAATCCTGGGCCTGCTTCTGGGCCTCAGTCTCCTTACCTGGAACTGGGTGAGCCCCGTGACATGACCTCCACCGTCTCTTTTGATACTAATTCTCTGTAGTTCTTATCCTTTGCAAGTCATACCCAAGGTGCATTATCACAAATTATTTTAAGAGTTTAATGTAATAATACCATCAGTTTAAAATTTATAGCTAGTTTTATTTATAAATAAAATCACCAGAAATTTGATGCTAGTGCTGAATAGCTACTTGATTTTCCCTGCCATTTATTTTTTTTAAAGTTGCCTCAAATGTACAGCTGTGATAGGAAAAAAGGAAACTTTTAATTTTAATGAAAAGGTTGAGTATTTTCAGAAAAGAGAAAGAGCTTGCTGTGAATAAAAATAGGAGCAGGTGAGCCGGGTGTTATTTTCAGAGGGGTTTGTCTGTGTGTGTAGTGAAAACACTGTTCTCTGTACATCTCTGAGCTCATATACCTTTTTTCTGTCCTTATAATAGTGATTATAAAACAGGGATAAGAGAATTATTTGTATGATTAATGAAAATAAAATGCACCTTGTGGCAAAAAACAAAACAGGGATAAGATTATATTTTCCTCCTTTTCCCAGTGACTTTATGAAAGTATTTATATTTAAAACTTCCTCCACTACTTATTCTTTATAAAGCCAAAATTGTATTAAAGAACTAGTTTTATATGCTAGATTAGTCATATGGAATTAAGTGACTCAAATGGTATTTGTTGATTAATGATTATATTATGAACTCCTTCAGGACATGGCCTACGGGGGTTTCATTTCTGTTTCCTCTCTAGGGCCTAGTACAGTGCTTGTGTATCGTAGGTGCACGGTGAGCTCTACTGTGACTTTGTATCAGAATTCACATTTGAGTAGAAATGTTTCTGAAGCCCCAGAGTCAAACATCGTACAAGCCTTTAATAGCTGTTCGTTTTAATTTGAGATTTTATGTGTGCTTCAGGAAATCGCCCTTACGTGTTCCTATCCGCTCGGGTCCATCCTGGAGAAACAAACGCGAGTTGGGTGATGAAAGGAACCCTGGAGTACCTCATGAGTAGCCACCCGACGGCCCAGAGCTTACGGGAGTGCTACATCTTTAAAATTGTCCCCATGCTAAATCCAGACGGTGTCATCAACGGAAAGTAAGTGAAGCAATAGTTACAGAAGTACTATAGCTTGTTGTGGTGGTCCTGAATAAAATCATTGAAATAATATCATCCAGGGCAAATTTGGAAAGCAAATCTAGGGATTTTTCTAGAGCAAAGAAATTTTTGGTGTGGAATTCATTTAAGTTTTTTTTTAAATGAAAATATATTTTGTATATTAGTAGTATGGCATTGAAAATTCTGTATGGCATTGAAAATTTCATGAGAAAATGATTTCATAAAATGTATATCTTGCTTGAGTTATTTTAGGAAAGTCACAGTGTCAGGATACAAGAAAGATTTTTTTAACATATCCTTTTATATTCCTTTCTTTTTCAATTTTGTCAGTGATGTGATCTTAGTTTGTGGTAAAATTTAGAATCTTCTGGGATCTCTTTCACTGATACAGAGTGTTGGCTCTGTCTGCTGACTTCTTCCTGATATGAGGAAGTGTAGTTTCTGACGAGGAATTCTTTAACCTGGAGATACTAGAAGATACCGCTTTTTAAGAGAAGGTAGCTTATCGTTCGTGTAGTTCATTTATTATGGCAATTAGACAAGGTCTTTTTAGTGCTTCTGAAAGATGGGATTTGACATACGAATCTCCAAAACTGTGAGGGTACCATATTTTATTCAATAAATGTAACATGAACCTTTCCCATATTTTAGGAAATTTTTCAATAAAAAAGGGGTAATTTATTTTTAGATAGGTTATGGTAATGAAACTACAATAAAATTTTGTGTCTTGTTTTAATTCAGGAATATATTGCCCAGTTAGAATTGTTTGTATTTCTGTTATTACTTTCTGTTTGCTTAAATTTATGTTCAATGCTTTATTTTTTTTTGTTCTTTTTTTTGTTCAATGGCTTTAATACTTAATACCTATGATTAAATGCAAATGTATTTGAATTTTTACAAGAACGTATACTTTTCCATATAGTTATCTTAGGAGTTCCCAGATAGCACTTCTAATAATAACTAATACAATCAAAATATAAAATGTTAGTAAAACAAATGATTATTATATATCCAGAATAGAATATATGACCATTAATTTTTATAGAGTAGGAAATAAAATCCCAGAATTGAGAATTAATTTTTTCTATAGCTTGAAAGTTTTGATTTCTAATCTGAAAGCTTTCCACTTTTAAATGCATGTAACACAGGATCTTGGACGTAACAGATGCTTAATAAATGATTATTTAATGAGGAAAAAATGGATTTAGTTGAACCTACCATTTACACCTATTTGACATATTTAGTGGAGTAGAATCATAAAATTAAATCAAGTCTACATAAGGATTTATTGAGACCCGTGTCTGTCTGTCACTGTGCTCACCTGTGTTCAGCCACCGCTGTTCTCTGAGTGGAGAGGACCTGAACAGACAGTGGCAGAGTCCGAGTCCAGACCTGCACCCTACAATTTACCACACCAAGGGGCTGCTGCAGTACCTGGCTGCAGTGAAGCGCATACCGCTGGTAAGTGGAATATTTGTGCTTTGTATAGTCAGAGACACCGTTTTATTAATTATTGACTTAGCATTTTGTACATTATTTTCTGGTAATAACCGCTAAGCGTTAATTTCAGAAACAGCTTCTTTAAAATACCTTTCTTTTTCCTATCAGTCACTTGTGTATTAATTATGGTATCAGATTAGTACAATGTATTCATATTCTTATTTTATCAGATTTAATTTGTATAATTCTCATGAGCACTTTACTTTTTTTTGCTTATGAATATTGGCAACTCCTAGTTGTAAGTTTCAGGTATTTAATGTCACTGTTTGAACAGCACTAAAATACCGTATTTTTCAAATTCTCCAACTAGTAGATGTTCATGTCTGAACTCTTTAGTCAACTCTGAAACTGGTAAGTTTCGAGTACGCACACGAGGGCGAGACTCCGCAGAACTGTGGACGGAGCTGCGTCTGTTTTCAGCAGCTTTTGTTTAGCATGTTTCAGTCTATTAGTATTTCAAGGAGTTAATTTTCCTTTCGGAAATGTAGAAACACTTTGCAGAGCAGTAAAACTGGCACGTGAGTCAGTACTTCATCTTTCATTTGTAAAATAATACTTTTAAAAATTAAATTGAAACCATTTTAATGCTCTTAAAATTAAATTGAAAGGCATTTTTACGTTTTTTTAAGTAAGATAAATATTTTAACAGCCTTTGGGGCAGTGATAACTACAGTTGTAGATTTGACCTATAATTGATTTTATTATTTTTTGAAATGGAGAGTATCCCTGACCCACGTGGCTCAGTTGCTTGAGCATCATTCTGCAAACTGAAAGGTCACCAGTTTGATTCTCGGTCAGGGCACGTGACTGGGTTGGGGACCTTGTCCTGGTTGGGGCGTGTGTGAGAGGCAGCCAGTTGATGTTTCTTGCACACATCAATGTTTCTCTCATCTTTTTTACTCTCTCCCCCTCTCTGTAAGATAAGTATATAAATAAAATATTTTAAAAAAATAAAATGGTGTATACTAGATATAAAGGAAAGATTGGAATTCATGCCTTGATGCAGTACTTGCAGAAGACTTTCTAGCCCTTCTAGTAATCATAGATTTCTTTCCAAAATTCAATATTACTATTTTTATTGATCCTGCTTGTTACATGGTGGCTCAGTTACAGTAAAAGGACAAAGGAACACAGACCCGTTTATTGGCTAATAGTAACTAGATTTATGTGACATTCTATGCATTTGAAGGTTTTTAATTCTTAAAATATATGATCTTTTCAAGGTTTATTGTGACTATCATGGCCACTCCCGAAAGAAGAATGTGTTCATGTACGGCTGCAGCATCAAAGAGACAGTGTGGCACACCAGCGCGAACGCGGCCTCCTGTGATGTGGTGGAGGACGTGGGATACAGGGTAATTACCACGGAGAAGCCAGGGCTCGTGCACTTCACACACGCATGCGAGTGCAGGAATGATCTCACATACGAGTGACTCAGATTCAGTTCATGTTGTCATTTTGCCATTACTGTTTCACGTGTTTCTTCTAATTTTTTCTTGCGTTTCACATTTAGAATTTTAATGTATTCAGAATTTGTTTTATATGAGATGTGGAATCTAATTTTAGTTTCTCCATCTATAACCATTTATTAGACAGTATATCCTTCCTCTGCCGATTTTATAAAGCCGTCTGTTGCGTACTGTGTTTCTGCATTTACGGTGTGCTGAGGACTGAAATGAGATCTTACTGCTTCAAGTGCCGTGTGCTTTCCTTTTTTTTAAAAATGCTTTATTTAAAAATGCTTTCTTTTTAGAGAGAGGGGAAGGGAAGGAGAAAAAGAAGGAGATAATCTCAATGTTGCCTCTTGCATAGTTTCCATTGGGAACCTGGCCCGCAACCTGGCTCCTCCAAACCCCTGACAACCACTGATCTCTTTGTTTCCATAATTTTACCTTTTCTAGAATGTCTGTAGTTGCAATCATGCAGTATGTACTCTTTTCAGACTGACTTCTTTCACTTAGTAGTATGCATCTGTTTCCAATATGTTTTTTCTTTTCAAAATTCAGTAAGGTATGGTTCCCGATTGAAGAAGTTGCACTTTGACTCAATATATCTTGGTATATCAAAAAGATATGCATCGGGAGTACAATAAGTGTTCTAAAAGATTGCTCTGTACTCCAATTTTCCCTAGGGTGCTTTTGGCAAGGACAAAAGAGACCCACCCGAGTTGATGCTAATATTTGTCAGCACCTGGAATGTAGTTCTTTTTTTTAAAATATATTTTATTGATTATGCCATTACAGTTGTTCTATTTGCCCCCTTCATTCCCCTCCCCCTGCACACCCCCTTCCCCACCATTCCCCCCTTTAGTTTATGACCACGTGTCTCAAGTTCTTTAGATTCTATATTTCCCATACTATTCTTGCCCTCCCCCTATCTATTTTCTATCTATGGTCTATGCTACTTATTTTCTGTACCTTCTCCTTCTCCCATTCCCCTGTTGCTAACCCTCCATGTGATCTTCATTTCTATGGTTCTGCTCCTGATCTAGCTGTCCTTTTAGCTTGCTTTTGTTTTAGATGTGGTTGTTAATAACTGTGAGTTTGCTGTCCTTTCACTGTTCATATTTTTTATCTTCTTTTTCTTAGTTAAGTCCCTTTAACATTTCATATAATAAGGGCTTGGTGATGATGAACTCCTTGAATTTGATCTTATCTGAGAAGCACTTTATCTGTCCTTCCATTCTAAATGAAAACTTTGCTGGGTAGAGCAATCTTGGTTGTAGGTCTTTGGTTTTCATGACTTGGAATACCTCTTTCCAGCCCCTTCTTGCCTGTAAGGTCCCTTTTGAGAAATCCGCTGACAGTCTGATGGGAGCTCCTTTGTAGGTGACTGTCCCTTTATCTCTTGCTGCTTCTATAATTCTCTCCTTCATTTTAATCGTGGCTAATGTAATGATGATGTGCCTTGGTGTGTTCCTTCTTGGGTCCAACTTCTTTGGGACTCTCTGAGTTTCCTGGATTCCCTGGAAGTCTATTTCCTTTGACAGAACAGGGAAGTTCTCCTTTATTATTTGTTCAAATAAGTTTTCCACTCGTGGCTGTTGCTCTTCCCCTTCTGGTACCCCTATAATTCAGATGTTGGAACATTTAAAGATGTCCTGAAGGTTCCTAAGCCTCTCCTCATTTTTTTGAATTCTTGTTTCTTCGTCCTTTTCTGTTTGGTCATTTTTTTTCCTCTTTCTGGTCCACTCCTTTGATTTGAGTCCCAGTTTCCTTTCCATTACTATTGGTTTCCTGTGCATTTCCATTCATTTCAATTAGTTTAGCCTTCATATGTTCCTCTAATTTGTGACTAAAATCAACCAGTTCTGTAAGCATCCTGATCACCAGTGTTTTGAACTATGCATCTGAAAGTTTGGCTATTTCTTCATCACTTAGATTTATCGGCTCTGGGGCTCTGAGTTGTTCTTGTGCCATGTTTTGATCTGTTCATGCCAGATATGTATAAGGAGCAGAGCCTTAGGTGTTCACCCAGGTCGCTGGTTTGTGTTGCTGTATGTGGGGTGGGTCAGAGAGAGGCCACCCAGGTCGCTGGCTTGTGACGCTGTATGTGGGGGTGGGGTCAGAGAGGGACAATGGCAGTCCCCTCTGCCGCTTCCTGCCACTGGGCCCTGCACGGTCTGTCTCACCACTTGCTCCTTCACTGGCTTATCTGCGCGCAAATGTGTGACCGTGGTCAGCCCTCAGTGGCTCCGCCCACTTGTCCACACCTGGGATCCGCCCACAGCTGCCAGCGTGCACGTGTCTCACACCTGGGTGTGTCCGGTGGATCTTTTCTGCCCGACCCTGGTCTGCTGCTGTCTCTGCCCCTCTTACCAGTTTGGCTGAAGGGTTCGTTGTTGTCAGACTTCCGGATAGTTCAATTTTCTGTAGTTTGGCTGCGTTTTTGTTGCTAAAACTTTGTTGTTTTTAAACTTGGTTGTGCGAGAAGGCACAGTGCTTCCACCTACACCTCCATCTTGGCGGAAGTCCTCCATGTGCTTCCCTTTTTCTCCCAGAGCCTCTCCTGCTGAATTGGTGCCTAAACAGGGACCACGGGTTATTTTTCAGAAAATGTTTCAGTAACATACTACTACTGTCCACAGAACTTTGAAGTACATTTTCTGTTTGGTTCTCTCTCTTCCCCTTTTCCAAATAAATAAAATGACGGAAACACTCCAGGAATACAAAGTCGTAATTGAAAGTCATCTCTCAATTAATTACTAAGTAATCAGTTTTACCATTCTGAACACATTCATTCATAAATCTATATGTAAAGTACATGTGTGGTTTTTTGCAGTGTTTCACAGCAACTTTTTAAAAAAATCCTCACCCAAGAATATGTGTATCGATTTGAGAGAGAGAGAGAGAAAAACATCGATATGGGAGAGAAAAATGGAGAGGTTACCTCCCGTATGTGCCCTGACCTGAGATCGAACCTGCAGCCTTTTGGCGTGTGGGACAACGCTGCAACCAGCTGAGCCACCAGCCGGGGCAGCAGCTTGTTTTCTCACACAGTGTGTGTTGGCCATCTTTCCTGGTCCTTGTACGGAGACCTGTTTCAGTCTTTTTGACAATTACACAGGATTTCATCATGCATTTTTGTTCTTATTGTACGGATGTACTGAAGTTTGTTTATGGAGTCATTTCCTCTTGGTGGCCATTTGATTAGTATTGTCTAGTTTTCCTTTATAAAGTTTATACAAATTGATGTTTCCCAATTTAATGAATGATAGTGCTATTTCTCCACACCCTAATCACGTAATACTGTTGTCCTTGCCAGGTAAAAAGAAAAAATCTGATGTTTTAGTTTGTGTCTCTATAATTTTGTGGTCAAATATTTTTTTCATCTACTTGTCCAATTATAATTTTTCTCTTTTGTAAAATAGCCTTTTCTCATATTCTCTGCTTGCTTTTTTGCTGGTGGTCATCTAGTTATTGTTTTTGAAACTTTATAAACACAAAATACTTGTGTTTTACAAGTATTTTAAGAATTTTATTTGTTTATGATGTGTAGTAATTTAAAATTTTATCTTATTTGTTGAATATTTAAAAAAATGGCATCTGGTTTTGGAGGCTTAGAAAGAATTTTCTCATTCCAAGATTTAAAAATATAGTTCTCTGTTTACTGTTTTTAGTTTTGTTTTAAAGTTTTACATTTTTTTAAATACAGTCTAGAAGCCTGTATTTTTTTTCTAACTTTTTAAAAAAGATTTTATTTATTTATCTTTAGAGAGGAAGGGAGGGAGAAAAGGAGAGAAATATTGATGTGTGGTTGCCTCTCATGAGTCCCCTGCTGGAAACTGGCCTGCAACCCAGGCATGTGCCCTGACTGGGAATCGAACCACGACCATGTGGTTCACAGGCCCGCGTTCAATCCACTGAGCTACACCAGCCAGGGGTTACATTTAAATTCTCAATCTAATTAGAATTTAATTTAATGAAGGGTGTCTGTAGCTTGTCTCTCGATGACTGTCCAGTTGTGTCAACATTAGTGGATGATCAGTGTTTTCTGAGGTAATAATTTAACAGATAATAATAATAACAGTTAAATAATTTAACTAAATTTAACAGATACTTTGGGTTCTAATTTTGAACCAGATATATTTCTGTCTGGAGGTATATCTGTTCCTACTCCAGTATCACAGTTTCCTTTAACCTTAGATATGTAATTTAGGTTAGTATCTGTTGGATTATTTCTCTAGTCACAGCCTTTTCTCTCATAGTTCCCCAGGGTGTGTTCCCATATTTATACTTTCGGGTGAATTTAAGAATAATTTTAAGTTGTAAAAAATGTGGGCATTTTTTATTATGATTGTCTTAGCTTTAGTAATTAATTCGGGATGATCGATACACACAAATCTAAATTTCTTCATTATAATGAAGAAATTTAGTAAACGTTTCTTCATGTTTAATGTTTTTTTCATATTTTTCAACATGGTTTTTCTTACATGGTTTTATTCTATTTGTTGCTACTCTAAATGTGATAGTTTCTTCCATTCTATTTTCTGACCATTTGTCTAGGAAAGCAGAAAATTCTAAATTACTAAGAGAATTATTTTGATGTGACCCTGCTCTAATGACTGCGCTTTCATGAAAAATTTTAAAGAATAAAACATTTAACAATTTTTAAAATGTCTTGAAATACTCTTTTATCATCATCTTTGCAGACTTTGCCTAAGATACTGAGCCATATTGCGCCAGCATTTTGCATGAGCAGCTGTAGCTTCGTAGTGGAGAAGTCTAAAGAGTCCACAGCACGCGTGGTGGTTTGGAGGGAGATAGGAGTACAGAGGAGCTACACCATGGAGAGCACTTTGTGTGGCTGTGACCAGGGAAAATATAAGGTAAAACATTTCAGGATTTCTAGCCATAAAAAATTATTTGTAGACTTTCTTTATGTTTAGAATCCAGTGCTTTTCAAGTATATATTCAATAGTACATTTCTTATACTGAGTTATATGTAATTTGTAATAATGAAATTGAATCATATGTAGTCTTAAAAACATTTAAAAAATTTCTCTGAACTAAATAGCTTGCTTTGGATTCTCACAGTCTTTTTTTTTTTTAAATCAATTTATTTTATTGTTAGAGAGAGGGGGAGGGAGGGAAAAAGAGAGGGAGAGAAACATCAAATGGTTGCCTCTCACATGTCCCCAACCGAGGACCTATCCTGCATCTGAGGCATGTGCCCTGACTGGGAATTGACCAGGTGACCTTTCTGTTTGCAAGCTGATGCTCAATCCACTGAGCCACACCAGCCAGGGTGGATTCTCACAAAGTCTTGAGTCTACTTATATTCAAAATTTTTAAGAAATCATACTGTGATACACATTTAAATACTGCACAGTAATTTACTTCTGACCAAAGTGGAGGCATAGGTAGACACTCTGTGCCTCCTGACACAAACAAATGAAGAACAACAACAAATTTAAAAACCAAAAACAACCCGAACTGACAGAAAATCGAACTGTAGGGAAGTCCAACAACCAAGGAGTAAAAGAAGAAATATTCATCCAGACCAGTAGGAGGGGCAGAGATGTGCAGCCAGGTGGAGAGGACACTTGGCAAGGCGGCGGCTGGCTGTTCCACGTTTGCATGTGGATAAACCAGGAGGAACAACTGGTAAGCGAGACAGACTGCACAACCCAGGGTTCCAGTGCAGGGAAATAAAGCCTCAAAACCTGACTGTAAAAACCTGTGAGGGTTCAGGCAGCAGGAGGAACTTCAACCTCATAGGAGAGTTCATTGGAGAGACTCACAGTGTCCTGGAATGTATACAAACTCACCCACCTGGGAATCAGCACCAGAACTTGCTTGTGCGTATTGGAGGAAGTGACTGAAAGCCTGGAGAGGGCTGAGCAAGCAGCATTGTTCCCTCTTGGACTCCTTCCTCACGTACAGAGCCACAATGCAGTGAAGTGGGTTGCCCTGCCCTGGCGAATACCGTAGGTCCCGCCCCTTACCATATAACAGGTGTGTCCAGACAAAGAAGTGTGGCCCAAATGAAAGAACAGGTTAAAATTCCAGAGAAAGAACTAAGGAACAAGGAGATAGCCAACCTCTCAGATGCAGAGTTCAAAATGCTGGTAATGAGGTTGCTCACAGAAATGGTTGCAAAATAGAGGAAGAAATGATGACTCTGCAAAGTGTAGTAAAGAAAAATATACAGGGAACTAACAGTGAAAGTAAGGAAACTGGGACTCAAATCAACAACTCGAAGCAGAAGGAAGAAATAAATATTCTATCATAACAGAATGAAGAAACAAGAATTCAAAAAAATGAGAGGCTTAGGAACCTCTGGGATAATTTTAAATGTTCCAGCATTCAAATCATAAAAGAAGAGGAAGAGCAGGAGATTGAAAACTTATTTGAATAAATAATGAAGGAGAACTTCCCCAGTCTTGCAAAGGAAATAGACTTCCAGGAAGTGCAGCAAACCCAGAGGGTCCCAAAGAAGTTGGACCCAAGGAAGCACACCCAAGGTACATGATAATCATATTACCCAAGATTAAAGATAATGAGAGAATCTTAGAAGCTTCAAGAGAAATGGAGATAGTCACCTACAGAGGACTTCCCATAAGACTACCAGCCATAAGACTATATCTCTTTCTCCAAAGAAACCTTACAGGCAAGAAGGGGTTGGAAAGAATTCAAAGTGATGAAAGGCAAGGACCTACATTCAAGATTACTCTATCCAGCAAAGCTTTCATTGAGAATGGAAGGGCAGATAGAGTGTTTCCCAGATAAGGTTAAGTTAAAGGAGTTCATCATCACCAAGCCCTTATTATGTGAAATGTTAAAGGGACTTATCTAAGAAATGGAAGATGATAAAAAATAATGGACAGTAAGATGACAACAAACTCACAACTATCAACAACTGAACCTAAAAAAAGGCAAAAACAAACTAAGCAAACAACAGGAACAGGAACAGAATCACAGAAATGGAGATCACATGGAGGGTTATTAGTGGGGAGGGGGTAGAAAGAGGGTGGAAGAAAAGATACAGGGACTAAGAAGCCTAAATTTAGGTACGAAATAGACAGGGGGAGATTAAGAATGGTACAGGAAATGGAGAAGCCAAAGAACTTACATGTACAACCCATGGACATGAACCAAGGGTGGAGGGAATACTGGAGGGAAGGGGGGTACTGGGTGGAGGGGGATTAAAGAGGCAAAAAAAATGGGACAACTGTAATAGCATATTCAATAACATATAGTTTAAAAAAAGTAAATAGTGATTAGTAATTTATAATTAGTTGTGCACATAGTACATTATCAGTAAAATTTTTCTATTTTACTTTGTTGGATGTAAATATATTTTTATGCATAGAAGTGAGTACACTCATTTATAAAGTTTATATTTAGCTTTTTGTGTGTGACTTTGAAATGCATATCCCTTCACTACGTATGTTTTTTTTACTAACACTGCTCTTCTGTAGCACAGTCTAAGGCTTTTATTGGAAACAAGCTGTGTTTTAAATTTTACTTTTGAAATTAAAGACTAATAAAATGTTAGGTGATTTTGAACTTTTAAATTTTAAATACTGAGAGTTTAACGGCAGTGAACTAGACTTCAGATAAGCAACAGCAAACCTGAGTATCCTTCTTGCCTTGGCACAGATCGATTTTCAGGTGACCTGCTAATTATGGCTCTCCTTCTGTTCTGTTTTGGGTTTTTTGGCATAGGGCAATAGGAAACTGAATCTAATAGTGATTTTCATATACCTCCTATAAAGATGGTTATAACTTTATGTTTGAAAGGAGCTAAAAATCTCCCAGCTGGTTAGTATTAAGAATGTAACCATATTACACTCGATGTCAGAATGTTTAAGTGGTCTGTAACAAGCTGGAAGAAAGTTGTGTAGCTTTTGTAGCTGACATTCACACTTTTGGGGCCTGGTAGAGTAGAACTTAATGACATTTCAGTGCCTTCTATGAGAAGTTGACCACGGTATTCTCTTCCAAAGGGTAATAATATCTTTGAAATTCTCTTCTAATACTGTGGACTGGTGACTTCTGGTTTACCAAGGGCACAATGGCAGTGAGAGATGAAATGTAGCAGAGCCCCGGTCCAGCCGCACCCCCTCCCCTGGACATTGCCGTGGTGGACTGCTCTGCCGAGGCTCATTGAAACTCCTGTGGAGAAGTGTGTCTTACTAAGCCAAGTTGTTTCTTTAATGTCTAAAATGTAGTGCTTTGATCATAACATACATTTTTTTGTTTTTTTTTACCTTGATTAATAAATGTTTGTTTTTTAGAGTAGTTTTAGATTCACGGAAAAATTGAGTGGAAAGTACAAAATTCCCATCTACCTCCACCTCCACATGTGCATATAATACATACTTTTCAAACTTACTAATAGTAGCTAATAAGTGGTGTGACTATATTTAAAAAAGATTTTTTTCTCCATGAAGAATATCTTGTATTATTGTATTTTAGACTGTAAATGTTCTTATAATTTTTTATGAACTGATTTAGAAATAGGCATAATCTTTCTAAAGATTTTAAATTAAGAAGGCAATTAAATGTTCTAATTCAATTTTACACAGGTTACATTTTCTAGAATATTTGGTTACATTTTCTAGAATATTTGGAGATGCCAAACTCTTTACATAATCCATCTACCAACCAGTCATTATGATAAAGGCATGTAGGTTAAGTAATAGTTTTTTACAATTTATTCTCTTCAGGGACCTTGTGCTTTGGGTCCCGTCACTGAAAAGTTGCTGTACATCACCTTCTCTCTAAGTGACGCCAGCACTCATGCACACCTGCAACTTTTATTGGTGTAAGATAAAAATTATTCACTTATTTCAGACATTCATTTTTATCTGAAAATTAAAGGATAAGCAAAATCTTGATTTACACTCAGATTTTATCCTTTTATGTGGTTACATTTAACTTGTGGTAAACCTTGTATTGTTCATTGGAAAACATGTAGGAAAGGGCGTGGGGGACGTGGTTACCGTTTCCTCTTTGCTTTAGTAAACAGAATTTGAGATGGACATTCTTAATTGACAAGGAACAATAGGAGCTTAGTTTACTGCTATCCCATTGGCTTAGACTTGTTTGATATTTTTGACATAGTTATCTTTTGTTTGGTTAGCATACAGAAAAGGTACCCATAAGGTAATGTTCAAGTATACAAATTGGAGCCTTGATTTTAACACTATAATGTTTCAACATTGGCATCTAAAGTAGTAGATAATAAGAATTATTAGGAAGATCCTATAAAAATATTTTTTCACACATGAACTCCAAGACTAACGTAAACACACAATGTTTATGTTTTTTTCTCCCCAGTGTGTTGGTGAAAATAGTTGCATTGGGTGATTTAAGAGTAGACAGTTTAGAAATGGTTTTTTAGGACAGTTTCCTTTGTGACTTAGAATATCTGACATTGTTAAGACGTGTTTTTGAGCCCTAGATCCATACCAAATAATCATCTTTTCATTTTATTAATATAGCTATAAATTAATTTTATGTGATTTTAATGAGAAACAGCAGGATGAAAGCAAACATCCTATTACATACACAATATTGCTTTATTTCCAGGGCTTACAGATTGGTACTCGAGAACTGGAAGAGATGGGAGCAAAATTCTGTGTTGGTCTGTTGCGTTTGAAAAGGCTGACATCCCCATTGGAATATAATATGCCTTCCAGCCTGCTTGACTTTGAACATGACTTGATTGACTCGAGCTGCAAAGTCACTAGGTAAGGCGCACTTGTTTTATTCTGTTGTTACCTCGTAGTATACTGTTAGACTTCGTTAAGTTAGTTAAGCGTAGGAAAGGCACAGAGATTTGGACAGCCAAGAACATTTTTAAGATTGCTGTAATTAAATTTACACATTACTATTTGTTCCAAATTGTGGTAATATTCTTGATTCTTTTAACATTACTATTTGGATGAAATTTTAATGAAGTAGTCTTATATTTTGAATGTTGTTTCTAGTGGAAAACATATCAGCTAATATCTAAATTAAGAGGGTTTGGAGTTAGGATTCATATTTTGAAAGAAATTTAATTTTGTTGCTGTCTACACACATCAGGTAACTTTCCGACAAACTTCTGGTTTTATATACCAGAAGCAACTGATTTAGTATCCCTTTGAAAAGTTAACTACATCTGCCAAATATTCTTCTGAATGGGTAAATTTTTGTCCCTAAAATTCAATATATATAAAATTTGATCAGCTATAGAATCAGAGATAATTCAGTATCATAGTTCTTAATATCAGAACTTAGCATCTTATAGTTTGATATATATGCGTAAGAATACTCCCTTTATGCAGAACCTTCATTTTAGTCTTTAGATATTGACTTGTCATCAGATTTAATTATTGCCATGCTCTGTTATGTATACCAATTTGGCCATTTCAGGTATAGTAGAACATTAAGTAGAACTCTGTTCTTTATAGTGTGGTTATTGACCGAGTGGTCGCCTGAATTGTTCCTGGAAATTGCCTGCTAAACACTAACGGAGACTAACACAAAGATTCCTTGTTGTTCCCATGGATGTTTAGAAGCCTCTTTTTAAGTTATTTCATGTGTTCTTTTTCTTCCCCAGCTTTGTTGAGGTATAATTCCCAAATAAAATTGTAAGGTATTTAAAGTATACAGTGTGATTTGATAGATGTATACATTGTGAAGTGATTTCCCCAATTGAGTTATTAACGTATCCATCCATTACCTCACATGTTGATATTTGTGTGTGTGTGTGTGTGTGTGTGTGTGTGTGAATATGTAAGTTGTACTCTGTTAGCAGATTTCGGTTTATACAGTCCAGTGTTATCAACTGCAGTCACCATCACTTCCTCAGGCCTTATTCATCTTACAGCTAAAATCGGTGCCCTTTCACCGACCTTTCCCTGCTTCCCCACCCTCAGCCCCTGGCAACCACTCTACTCTGTTTCCCTGAGTTCCATTTTTTTTCTTTCAGATTTCACATTTAAATGACACCATGAAGTGTTTTTCTTTGTCTGGCTTATTTCACTTAGCATAATGGCCTCTGGGTTCATCCATGTTGTACCAAATTTAAAAAATTCCTTCTTTTTTTAAGGCTGAGTAAAACCCCGTTGTATATCTATTTACCACATTTTTTTAATCCATCTGTCCATCAGTGGACACTTAGGTGGTTTCCACATTTGGCTGTTGGGAGTAGCACTGCCTTGAGCACTGGCTGCAGATCTCTCTTTGGGATAATGGAGCTGCTCCCTTTGGATATACACTCAGAAGTGGGATTGCTGCGTCATATGCTAGTTCTCTTTCTAATTTCTTGAAGAACCTCCACACTTTTTCATAGTGGCTGTGCCAGTTTTCATTTCCACCAACAGTGCACAGGGTTCCCTTTGCTGTACATCCTCACTGTCATTTGTCATCTCTTTGGGATAATAGCCACCCTGACACATGGGAAATAATATCCCATTGGCATTTTGATTTGCGTTTACTTGATGATTCGTGATGTTGAATGCCTTTTCATGCACCTGTTGGCCATTTGTATGTCTTCATTGGAAAATGTGTACTTAGGTCTTTTTCCCATTTTTAAATTGGGTTATTTATTTATTTAGCTTTTGAATTATGTGAGTTCTTTGTATACTTTGGATATAATATCCTTAATAAGAGAATGTGGTTTGCAAGTATTTTCTCCCATTTCATAGGTTTTGCCTTTCTTTTCATTTTCTTTTTAAATAAATTTTATTTATTTATCTTTAGAAGGGAAGGGACGGAGAGAGGGAGAGAAATAATCAATGTATGGTTGCTTCTCCTGCATCCCATGCTGGGAACTGGCCCCTGCTGGGAACTGGCCTGCAACCCAGGCATGTGCCCTGATGGGGAATCAAACCACGATCTTTTGGTTCACAGGCCCGTGCTCAATCCACTGAGCTATACCAGCCAGGGCTCTTTTCATTTTCTTGATAGATTCCTTTGCTGCGCAAACAGTTTTTAGTTTGCTGTAGTACTACTTGTTCATCTTGCTTTTACACTTGAGAAAAAATGGTGCTTGGAGAGAGTGGCTTGCTCCGTGTCGCACAGTCGGTTAGTAGGAGTAGAGCACAGGGGACTTCCGACTCCGTGTGGAGCGCTTTGTTTCTGTTTGTACAGGCGACAGTTGGAGATCTGCATCTGGTGTCTGGTCAGCTCTAGCGGACGTACACTGGTGTGTGTGAGAGGAAGTGGTAAATTCTTTAGCTCTAATTTTGCACAGGGCTTAGTAGTTAAATATCAAGATAGCCTGAAAACTTTGAATTTGAATGAAGCACAATTTTTCCTGTCATTAGGAAATAGTGCAATCACACAGAACGGGAGAACCTAATCGCTGATACATCTGATAATGGGTTAATATCCAAAATTTGTAAAGTACTTACAAAACTCAATACCAAAAAAACAACCCAATTGAAAAATGGGCAAAGGACCTGAATAGACACTTCACCAAAGAGGACATACAGATGTCCAATACACATATGAAAAGATGCCCAAGGTCACTAATCATCAGAGAAATGCAAATTAAAACCACACTGAGATACCATCTCACACCTGTGAGAATGACTATCATCAATAAATCAACAAACAAGTGTTGGCAAGGATGTGGAGAAAGGGAACCCTTTTGCACTGTTGGTGGGAATGCAACCAACGTGGAAAGCAGAATGGAGACACCTCAAAAAACTAAAAATGGATCTTCCTTTTGACCCAACTCCCCCACTTCTGGGAATATATCTGAGGGAACCCAAAACACTAATGCGAAAGAACATAAGCATACCTGTGTTCATTGCAGCGTTACTTACAATCGCCAAGATATGGAAGCAGCCCAAGTGTCCATCAATGGATGAGTGGATAAAACAACTATGGGACATTTACACAATGGAATACTACTTGGCCATAAAAAGGAAGAAAATTTTACCCTTTGCAACAGTATGAATGGACCTGGAGAAGATTATGTTAAGTGAAATAAGCCAGTCAGAGAAAGACAAATACCATATAATTCACTCATATGTGGAATCTAGTGAACAAACTGAACTAAGAAGCAAAACAGAAACAGACTCATAGATGGAGAGCAGATGACAGCTAGTGGGGGAGGGTGAAGTTAGGGGTGGAGGGACTGAGCAAAAAGGAAAGAGACTCATGGCCATGGACAACAGTGTGGTGATTGCTGGGGGCAGGGGAGTATAAGGGGACTAAAGAGGAATGGAAAAAAATACAGTACAGATTTTAAAAAAGAAAACAGTTGCAAGCAAACTTTTCTGCATAATAATGGTACTCTGCAGTGGAGAATTTTAGTGTCTTCATCTTGTGAGAAGGTCCTTTAGGTGAAGGTTTTCATATTTTTCTTGAAGTAGCATGAGGAGGATTCGTTTTTGGACTAAAATGCTATTCTCTTTTAGAATGAAATGTTTCTTATTGAATTGTTTTTGGCATAGACACCTTTATACTAAGAGCAAAAATCTAGAATAGAAGGCTGTTAAGGCAGGTGTATGTAGTACAGCCGTTAGAGAAGGAAGCAAAAACAGGACAAATGGAGTAAACATGCATGGAGAAAATGAGGTCAATGAGGAAATTGGGGTGGGAAAACTAATAGCAGTGAGAAAGAATAAACGCTGATTGGATGTTTTTTACGATTGAAATAACATTTGAATTTCTGTCTGCTAATGGAAAGGGACTACTTTGTAATCCTGGCGCAAATACCTTAAAGTCTTGCTCTTAAGACTATTGCGAGATCATGTGTCGGAGATACTTCCTAAATTGTAAAGTGCTTAAAACATTTGTTGGAATTCTTAATAAAAGTAAAACTGAATTGCTATGATTGGGCTTGTATCATGAGGTGTTTTTTTCTTTTAACTAAAGTAAAACCAGTGGGATGGGGTAATATGAAAGTCAGTGATCCTGTGGGCCTCGTGGCTTCTTGTAAGGAGTGCAGCAGGCATTTGTTCAGTGCCTGCGGTGTGTCAGGCACCTCTGGGAGTTAACAGGTGGTGCAAGATGGCTAGGTCACAGCTCCTGACCTTAAAATGCTTACAATTTAGTACTGAGAACGCAGGTGCAGCCCCTGTGGGACCAGTAGATGGTTTCAACTGCATCTGACAAGGAATGAGACAGAATGCTTGTGCAGGGTACAAAGGGAATATAGAGAAAGGGTTCTCATCCCAAGATGGGCTTTAAGAAAGGAAGAATATCTAAAGCTCAGCACAAGCTGTGATTTGAAAGCCATATGAGTGGTGAGGGGAAGACAGGTGGGAAGTATGTGCTAGGCAGAGGAAACAATGTCAGTGAAGACTCGTGAGGCAAGGAGTAGTCTGGACATTGATGGGCATGACTAGCTTGCTGAGAATGTTGTTTTTGTATTTGACTCACTGAGTGAATGATACTGAGAAACCACAAGAGGAGCAGGCTTAATGGGGAGAACAGTGAGTTCAGTTGTGAGCCTGTGACATTCCCAAGGTGCACGTGAGACAGCCATGTGAGTATACTAGCAAGTCCATGTGTACACACAGGAAGTTCAAGGGAGAAGTCGGGGCTAGAAATTGGGATCCGGAAATGATCAGGATGTAAATTAAAGTGTATGAGCTCACTCAAAGAGGGTGTGCATGTAAGAAAGAGGAGCATTTGTACAAGCACCTGGTTTTGAGGCATACCCAAGAGATGAAGAGCACTCCATCAACATTAAGAAGAGAGAGGGGAGTGTCAAAATTTCCACCACAGTTAAGTACAGCAGAGAGAT